ATTGTGCAGCACATAAGATCAACAGAACACAGTGTGCTTTGAGGTAGGAGCCAAAAAGGGTGTAGTTTGTGTGTGTGAGCACCCGTGTGTACACCTGTGAGCATGGACGCGCTTGTTTTTTCAAAAGGTTCCTTCATGTAATGATCTGCTAGAGGGTGTGGGGGGGCCACAGCCCCGTCCTCCAGGACATGAAGCAGGTATGGAGGAGATCAAAAACTCCAGACATCCAGAGGCCCCCAGAACACAAGAGACCAAGGAAGACCAACAGAGGGGCAGCCGCGCCACTGTCCCAGAAAGAGCTGAGGAGAGTCCCAGATGAGGGCTCACTCAGCAGCCGCGGAGCAGAAGCCAGGGGGAGTTGCTCCGCACCCTGGTGACATACCCCTACTCCAAGGTCCTGCATGTGTGGGTGGTTGTGGTGGAGCAGGAAGAGGGAGGCAGCTGGAGATGGGGAGGGAAGGAAGGGAGGGGCAAACCACATTGATAAGTTTAAGTAGCCAAAATATGTTATTTAAGATTTTCTACCACATTTGAATTTAAAGGAGGCCAATATTACAATTACTGGGGGCTGCAGGCACCTGTGCATTCAACCAGTCATCAATTTATCAATTATCCAGTTAACCAATCGTGTGGCAGCAGTGATGTGCATAGGGAATCTCAGTTAATGTTCACAGGAAACATCAGAAAGAGGGACAAACTGAACATTGATGACTTTGATGATAATGATATTGTTGGCACCAGATGTACTGGAGCACTGTTCCTCTCCTTGGATTTCCAAGTACAGCAGTCTTTGCTTAGAATTGTGTGAAAAGTATGAAACCACGACAAAAAAAGTAACATCCAGTGAGCAATAGTTTTGCTGAAGAAAATGTCTTGTTGATGAGAGGTCAAAGGAGAATGGTCAAACTGGCTGGAGCTGACAGAAGGGCTGAGGTAACTCGGATAACAAATCTTTATGACTATTGTGAGCACAAAAAGGATCTCAGAGTTCACAAACATCCAACCTCGAAGCGGGTGAGCTGCAACAGCGGGAGCGCACATAAATAGAAATATGGAGCGGCAGCTGGCACAAGCTCACAAGAAACCGAAGAACAGAAAAACACAGCCTGCAGAGTGACGCAGATGGTAGGGTCAGAAATTCACATCAGCACCAAAGTGCCCTGTGTCAACAGTCCAGGCTGGTGGTGGAGCTGTAATGGTGTGGGAATGTTTTCATGGCAACACCAGTCAATCAAGGATTAAATTCCACACCACTGCAGCTGGCTAAGTGCAGTCTATCCCTTTACACCCACAATTTACAACCTATTGTCTAATGGCTACTTTCAGGATGATAATGCTCCGTATCCTAAAGCAAATGGCCACAAAGACAAACATCTGGATTCAACATCAAACATCTGGAACGCGGAAGAGTGGACGACTTGCACGATTAAAGTGCAGCTTCAAAAAAAATAAGAAATAAAACATTCTGCAGACATTAACTGATGCAATCATGTTAACATTTTGTAGAAGCTGCACAGCAAAGGGAGGTCCTGCTCAGTATGTAGCATGGCGCTCCTAATAAAGTGTTCAAAGAGCACATGCTTCCCCCCAGAGCTCGCAACAGCAAAAAGCTGTTTTGTACACAGGTGGGTAGAGCTGAGTACTACATCTTTATATGTAAAATCTTAACAGAATATAGTTAATAATGTATGAAATCAAGTGTGCAGTCATGCAAAGCAAAGAACAAAAACA